GGAGCTCCCGACTAGGGGATAGCCTGAACCCTCTTCTTCCAACATCATATGCATATATATATTCTATTTTAGAAGCTATATGTCAAGTTTGGTGACTCTAGCTCTTATTATTTACCGAAATTGTCCAAAAAACAAGATATCGATATCGATTTTTATCGATTGCTTGGAAACGGATTAAGTTATCTACTATCGGAAACAAACTCGATCTGCGCGGAAACTAGGAGTCTCTAGCTCTTATAGATTCTGAGATCCGTGCGGACGGACGGACGGACGGACGGACGGACAGACAGACGGACATGGCTAGATCGACTCGGCCATTGATGCTGATCAAGAATATATATACTTTATGGGGTCGGCGATGCTTCCTTCTGCCTGTTACATACATTTGGCTTTCGCACAAATACAATATACCCTTATACCCATTTTGAATGGATTCAGGGTATAAAAAGGATAAGCAACAACTCTCACAATAAAATAAATCGAAGCACATTATTTCTATTATAAACAAAACTCAATTTGTTTTATTGAATCTATATAATTTGGTAACAGAGTACGTTAAATTTATGATGATATATGAGCCAGGCCCAATTGAATTAGCGCACGACATGAGTGTAATTAAAATAAGAGTATCATCAATTAGCTGCAACTAATTTCCAGCAATTGTTGTTTAAGTTCAGCTGCACCCAGGGAACTACCCACACACACACACACACACACGCACACTGAGCGCCCACACACTTCCCATACAACAACAACAAGGGCAGGCGAATTGATTTGCGTTTATCAATTGAGGGCGAAAAAAAAGAAGAAGGTGCGAAATGAAAAATAAACTTTTGTTTGTCTGTTTTTCGAGTTTCTCAATTTCATGTGTTTACGCAAAAATGTATATATAACACGCTGCGAAAAAAATTGGTAGCGAAATTAAACGCGTGTGAAAAATAAATTGTGGCCAGCAAGTAGCATAAACAAAAGCAAATAACTTGAAACGCAAATGAGATGTAGAAAAAATAAACTCAAATTAATTAAATTTCCTGCCCAATGCGCACTTTCGCCTTGGGCACCGTGCACACTGTGCGGGAGGCGACTGTAGCATTTCAAGGCAGACAAATGCCGTTTTAATTTGAATAAATTACAACGTTTAAGAGACAACAACAAATGCTTAAGCTATGAGCTCAGCTAGGCTGCAGATATTGAAGTATTTTAATTACTTAAAAAATTGTTTTTGCAATTGCAGAGTTTGTCGACTATTTCAAAAGAAAGCGGTTTATTTTTTCTGCAAATATTTCAATTGGACTTTTTCCGCAGCAAGTTGCATTTTTTGTCTGTTTTTGTCACGTTTGTGTTTTGACATTTTAGGCAAACGGTGTGTGTGCGTGTGTGCAGGTGCGAGCGAGATGGCTGCTAATGATAGACATGCAGTCGCTGAAGCGAGACAAAGTGCGACAAATATGGCAAAAAAAAAAAAAAAAACAATACAAGTGTAACCATAGATAAGTGCCGATATGGTTAAAGGAAATAGGTAGAAAAAGCGAAAAGATCAAACAACAATTGTTAAGAGTTGGCTGCAAGAAAAGAGAGCTACTAGCAAGAGCGGCAAATTAAGAGAGCAACATTGTTGTAGCAGCAAGAGCGCGCGCTTACAGCAACAGACAGCTTATGTAATTAAGGCAGTGTGCTACAGGTAACAGCAATGTTTGCCGCAGCATTGATCGTATAACATGAACAGAGAGCAGCAATGTTATTACAAGTGCTGTTATAAAGACGTTCTGTGGCAAACAAAAGAGAGCAAAGAGCGCGCGCTCTGCTCGCTCCGTTTGGCAGCCAGCCAAGCGCCTTGTGCGATGTTTTTATTTGGTATGTTTTGTTTGTGCGTGCGCATTGTTTTTACCTTCGCCTTTGCCTTCAACATATGTAGACCGAGCGCCGACTGAGAATGTTAACAACAAATATTTGATGGAATTCAAATCTAACAATTGAAAGCCCGTTTGATAAGGGGTGAAAGGGGGCTACTATGTGTATAGTTGTAGTTCCTGTAGTTTCTTTTTTTTTACCACTATCAGGCGACAAGAAAATACACGCAAAGATAAGCATATATACACAAAGAGACGCACAACTTGAAGAAGGTAATAAACAAGCAAAGTGACCAAAATGTAAATATGTATGTAAATCTGGCACGCTTTTCTGTTCTGTGGGGATTAACAGAAAGATTTCTTTATGGCACTCGTCTGTTATCAGGCTGTTGTTTACATTACAAGACAACGACAATAAATACAAATTTTAATTAAAGTATTTAATTTGTATGCTTTGGAGCAGCATAATTTCGGTTTATGCTTTCTTTTTTGTGCAATTATTTTTCATTATTATTCCACATGACAACTGCGGCAACTCACACAACAACAAAGGCGACACACATACATACATATTTCCGCAAGAGTTAACAAATACAACAACAAGTGCTAGATACACACATATATACATATATAGCTAGATTTTAGCGGAAACTCGAGGCGAAAGTTTTAGCTCTAGCCAAAACGTGGGAGTTGAGAATGAGAAACATAAGAAAAACGTCAAGAAAAAGGGCGCAGTTCAATTGCTTCTTCTTTCCATCAATTACAAAAAAAAGAAAGACTGAAAAAACGGTAGCTATAAAAAATACTATTAATATATATAAATAAATTTCATTATATATATTTCATAAGAAATGCCCAACAAGTTGAGAATAAGTTTTCCTTTTTGCAGACGGTAATTTTCATTCAAGAACTAAAGCGTTGTACATTATATTGGACGGCACTGTATACAGTCATATACACATGTATATGTAAGCATTTCCGAAACTCATCCGACTTGTATATACACGATTTGATGCTGCATTTTTAGCGTAGGATATTGAGTCATCTAATGAATTATATAAAATTTATTCTATTTATATAAGTTTGAATATATTGTGGTCTGAGTTAAAGCAGAAATTCGCAAATTTTCCAAGCATGAAAACTTGAAAAACATTAAAGACGCGTTAAAATTTGATAGAATTGTAAAATCTAATAAGAACTTGACTTTAAACGATATATACCCCTTTATAGATACAATTTGTGAGCATATATTGCAATTGACATAATCGTAAGTTTCTTGGCTGCGCAAACAAGATAATAAACAATTGTTAGTTCATAACTTTTATCGAATCGTTACAAAATCAATAAACCCGTTTTTTTTTTTAATTTATATATTGCTTACTTATCTTATTCAGAAATGGCGAAGGCCCTAATGGGTCATAAATACAATCTCATCTATAATAAAGTGCACACTGCTAAGCAACATCCGTGTATTTTGCTGCACACTGGCTTCCGAAATAAAGGGCACACCGTGCTGTTGCACACAGTGGCGTCCAAATTGAAACCAAATTCAACGAAGCGAAAAATGTTAAACAAATCTCATCAGCTGATGAACTTAAATAACTGTGCAAACTTTTGGGTCAACAATTTTAGTTTGTCCATTTGAGTCAGCCTCGAGACTCGATTAACATAATGAGAAAAACTTGTGTAGCCCGAATGTAACAAGGCTGAAAGCCGCAAAAACAAAGCAAGCTCATGCGAAAAGGGGGCGTGTCCGAAGTGGCGGCACTTCATTACACAAATTATACAACCTAAGGTCAAGTGGTCATTGTCTCGGTGAAAGACGACATTAAATTGCTCGAAATTTGAAGGAAAGCTATAAAAACGCGGCAGAGGAGGAAATTCAGAAAACAAAAACAACAATAACAATAGAGGCAAAGGCATTGATTTATGAGTGAGGCCCAAGGATTATAAAGGGGATACACACGCACACACACACACACCCATGCTCACACATGCACATAATACACTTAAATATCTAATAAATCATAAAACGCGACAAAAAACAAAAACCTAAACTCAACGCGTTTTGTGCGCGTTTTAAAGCGCGTGCATGCGCCAAGCCGATTAGCGTGCGAATTGTGGGTGAGAAGGATACGAATAATGTAAATGTTAATGCGGCACGCATTAAACAGAGTGGTTAAACGTTGTTAGCAGTAGACGGACTTTGCAGACGAAAAGCGCACCAAAGCAAAGGCGTGAAAGAACAAAAAAAAAAATAACACACAAATGTCTGTTATGCGCGAATGAGTTTGAAACAAGGGAGGGGGCTGTGCAGATATGGGAGTGTCACAAGAGTGCCAAACGGTATGGGGTGTGGGTGTGTGTGTGCCTGCCTGTCGAAATCAATTAACAGCCAGAAGGAAGATCAAAGCTGCGCTCAAGTGAAAATGTAAGAACTGGAGCGTGCGAGCGAGACACTAGATGAGTACAGTTACTGAGAGCGAAATGAATGGAAGTCATGTCGTATGCATAATTTGCGCATTGGATACAAATAATACAAAAGCGTAAGAGAAGAAAATATGCGAGCATAAAAACGGCAATTAAATAGATAATTAGAACGAAAGTGGAATGCCCTTACAAATTAACTATTACAAAACATTTCAAATAAATAAGTCAAACTTATTTTTAATTTAATAAAAATCTCAAAAAAAAGTGTAGTTCATATTTTAAAAAAGTCATGATTTGCGCCAAACTGTGCCACATAACGAATTGACCCTGTTCTCGTTTTGGCAGCGACTCAGACCATAAAGACGGGTTGATGACGTTGCCCGAGACAAAAGCCATAAAAACTATGTGTAAGTAGTTTCTGGCAGCCGCAACCCCAAATGGGCGCCAGCGGGGTCGCTCAGGGGTAGTGTAATATACAGTGAAAGCTCTTTTAAGCGGACTACTCTTAAAAGATGCCAAGGAATCAACAGAAGAAAAAAAACACAGAAAACCAAAAATGTACACGTAAATATTGAAAATTAAAAAAAAAATTGAAATAGATCTTTGATCTTTGATCTTTTCTATCAAGAACATGCTCATCCAAAGTTGACATTCACTTAAGTCGAGTTCTCACTGTACACGCGCTTTACTGTTAACATATGGATTTCTGTTGGTACTCACCAAAACATTCTTTTGATTCTCTTTGTCCAGCAGAAATTCCATGCTTTTGTGTGGCCTACGGACCGAGGCGATTTGGACGCCGCCCGCCTGTGTTGATGGCTTGATACGTTGATTGTTTCCATCGAGATGCTCATCATCGTCGTCGTCGTCATCCCGGACATCGTAGGCGGCGCTGGTCACATTCAAGCGCTTGACCAGATACCGTTTGTGCAGCGGATTGCATGTGATGTCCATAAGGGAGCGCGTCTTGCCCGTAATAACCGTTTCGTGTGTGTCCAAATTGGTCTCGATGAGGCCCATTTTCCCGACCCCGCCATCGCCGTCGGTGGTGTCCAGCATCGGGGACACAGCCACCGGCACGGCTGTTACCATGGTCAGAGGACGCGACGGCGGCAGCGGCATGCCGGCGCCCAGCTGATTGAACATTTGCGTCTTTTGCGCGACAGAGGCGCGCGACGGCGATTCGGTGGCTCGAGCCATTTCCGTTTCCGTCAGCGACATTTCGTGACGCTGGCCCGTTGTCAACTGTTGGGCAAAGGCCGCATATTGTTCCCGTTCGGCGGCCAAGAGAGCATCGCTAGCATGGGCAGCACTAAAGGAGCCATTGGCAGCACTGACCGAATACGGCGCATGCGTTTGCCGTGGCGGCAACTTCGGCAACGGGGGTTTACCTGTGACCAGCTTTTGCAGTGTCGATGTTTTCGGCTGCTCCAGCTCAGCTGCTGCTGTCGCTGCTGCCGCTGCTGCTGTCGCCTGGCGACTGTGGACGCTGGCGGTGCTCGCCTCAGAGACGTTGCTGTCATCTAGCGTGCTGCGCGGCGGCTTGAGGGGTATGTAAATGAAATCCTGGCTTTTGCCATTGCTCTGCGGCGCTTGCTTGAGCGTCTGCTGCTGCTGCTGCTGCGGCTGCTGTTGCTGTTGCTGCTGCTTCTTCTTGCGGCGCAGCGAGAAGCGCAGGCCATGCGCAAAGCGCGACAGAAAACTCTTTGAGCTGGGATGCTTCTCGTCCGTTTTGTTGGCGCGCTGCTTTAAAGGCGACTCATTGTTATTGGCGCTGGCGATGTGCGCCGTGGGCTGGACTGACGTTGATTTGGACGACATTTTGTTGTCGACGTTGTCGTGGTCGTAACGCTGCAGCAGCTGCTGCGAGGCGTAGAGTATGTGATGTGCGCGGTTTGTGGGCGGTTCGCTTAGTATGGGCAAATGCAGGCTTAGGGGGCGTGTGTGTAACGGCACTGTGTGAACTGGTGAACTGGCGATCGCGTACGATGAGCTCGCGTCGACGCTCGTTTCAAGACTGACAGCCGAGGCAGCAGCAGCGACGCTTGAAACGGGCTGCAGCAGCGGCGGCGGCGGCGATGTTTTTTGTTGTTGCGTTTCCATGCTGCCGCCAGCGGCGATGTTTTCGTTGTTTTCATCACTCTCGCTGCTCTGGTCATCGATCACGCTCTCGCGCTCGCGTTCGCTCTGTTGCGCTCTTTGCTGTTGCTCTTGCTGTGGCTCTTGTTGCTCTTGTTGCGGCGCTCTTAGCTGTTGCTCTTCATTGTAGCGCGCTGCTATGTACTCGTTCTCTTTGGTGTTATAAATAACAGTGGCATCGTTGTTATCCAACAGCTCCTCCTCTTCTCCATCATCATCATCATCATCATCATCGTGCTCCTCATCGCTGCTCGCCTGGTCGTGCTCCTCTTGCGGCTCCTCCGACGACTGCTCCTGCCAGCAATACTTACTCACCACTGGACAGAAACTCACCTCCTTGCTGAATGAATTACGCGAGCCCGCCGGCAACAGTATGCCCAAGGGCTTTGGCTGTGTCGGTGTCTGCGGCAGTTGATGCATCGAATTGTGCGCACTGCTCACATATATATCATCCTCCGGCTCCTGGCCGCCATCGAAGGCCGATAGATTGGGCGTGCTGCTGACCAGGCTGCGCTGTTTGGCCGTTGAGCTCTGGAAGCGCCGCTTGGGCAGCACCCGGTTGGGCGGTGGCGGTGCCGGATTCCTCTTGGGCAGCTCGAAATTGCACTGCTCCAGCGACTGGGCATAGGAGGTGCGCAAATTGGTCGGATCCTGATCGAAAGTCTTGCCAAAGCTGCTGAAGCTGATGACAGTGGCCGCGGGCACGGAGGATGGAGTAGGAGCTGGCGACGTCGGCTCCTTCTCCGCCGTCTGCCGCTTTTGGCGAGCCGGCGGCTTACGTATGGTTAGCTGGACATGCTGCACTTGTGGAGGCGCCTCCTCCTGCTCCGGCGCCGGTTCCTTCTCGACGGTCTTATCGTTCAATATGGATGCATTTTTGTCATAGATTTGGCTCAGCTCGTCCAGCAAAAAGTTGCCCTTGCATATGAGCTGCTCGTAATCCTCGCCAGAAACGACGCGTTTACGTTTGTCCATGTCGAAAGAGCTGCGCTTGCAATTATCACTGCGATCCGCGTAGTCGAGTAGGGTCAGATTCTGATAGCTAGCGTTTAGGTAGCCTGCGCCTGCGCCCGCTCCTGATCCCGCTTCTGTGCCCGTTCCCGTTCTTGCTGCTCCACTGAAGCCGCAACGTTCGTTCCAGCTGCAGCTGCGTCGCATGCGCGGCAAGCTGCTGCAATCAAAATTGTCCAAATCCTCGCTAGAGCTGTGCCCGTCCTCGCTGCTCTGGCAATTCCTCTGCTGCTGCTGGCGACGTGTTCGCCTCCGTCTGCCCAGCTGCTGCAGCTCGTTGGGCACGCTGCCGGCTAAGGCTGTCGCTGTGCTGGTTCGTGACAGCACGGGCGAGCACTCGGCGGATGTGGACGAGGAGGAGGAGGAGGAGCCGCTGCTGCTGCTGCTGCTCTTGTTGTTGGCCAGGCCGTAGCTGTTGTTGTCCGTTAGAAATTTGGGCGACGAACCTCGCGGCTCGCGTATATCGGGCAAACTGTTGCGCAGCCAAGTGAACGAGGCGGCGGACGATGTTGACGACGATGACGACGACGACGACGTCGGCGACGACGTTGCGGATGCCGCTGATCCGCTGGGCGATGGCGACGGCGACGGCGACGGCGACGTGGATGGCGAGCGTGCGCCTCTCTCGCAGCTATTTATAGACGATGCCGGAGAGCCGAGAGATGACTGCGACGCTGACTGCGTCTCGTTTGTCTGCTGCTCTATTTTTGTCTGACACAAATCATTGGAGTTTTTGGAATGTGCGCCTGTCGCTGCCCCTGCCCCTGCCATTGCCCCTACCACTGACGCTGCCTCCTGCTCCAGCAGCTCCTCCATCTCCTCCTCTTCGCAGAGCTTGTCGAAATTCTTTGGTATGCTCTTGGATTTGGCGCGTCGCAATGTGCTCGGCTCACAGTAGCCCGAATCCTCAGACAAATTCTCCGCCGAATTGAGCGGCAAGCGTCGGGCACTGCCCGCATCTTGTTTACCCGGACAGGCGCTGAGCATGCTGTGTCCGCTGCTGTCGCTGCTGGACGTGCTGCTCGACTCCGAATCCGATTTGAGTTCCGCCTGATGCAGGCTCTTGCAGGCACCGAACAGCTCGCGCTGCTGCTCCTCCAGGTCCAGCTTGTGCAGCTCGTAGTAGGTCTGATGCAGTCGTCCGTCGCTCGACTCGTAGCGCTTCAGCAGCGACGTGGCCGAGCCGCGCCGGCTATCCGGATTGCTGTGGCTGCCGCCGCTGGCGCCGCCGCTGCTGCTGGCCACCGTCTCGCAGCTGAGCAGCGAGGGCGAGCTGTTGCCCAGGCTGTTCATGCTCTGGTGCTGTTCCTGTAGCGTCAGCTGGCGCTCCAGCGACTCGAACTGCACCAGCGAGGAGCTGCGCGACAGCGAATGATACGAATCGTTGTCCGAGTAGAAATCCTCAAAGTTGCCGCCGCGCCGGCAGCTGCCCGTGCTGTTGCGCTGGCCCTGGCTGCCGTAGCTGTCCCGGGCGCACGCCTCCAGCGCCAGGAAGCGCTCCAAACTGTTGTGCGCCTCGGCATCGTAGCGCGGCGGCGGCGGGCGACGCAGCTGCACCATGTCCTCCAGACTGTGCAGCTGCTGCTGCTGCTGCAGCTCCTCCTGCGAGCGGCGCGCGCGCTTCGGCGGACAGGCAAAGTCACGTTCCGATATGGCGTCGATATCTGCCCCATAAAATTAAACATTTTTATTGGAGTTCTTCATTTATTCATGTCGCACTCACCCTTGTTAATTTCGACTCTTATGACCGAGCCTGTCTCGGACTCCGCGGAGCTCCAGAAGCCGCCGCCGCAGCTGCTGCTGCCGCGATGCTCGTAGCCGTTCCAGCTATTTTGCGCATGCTCCTCATCCTCGGAGGTCTCCTCCATGATGGGCTCCAGCATTTGGCGCGAACTGGACAGGTAAATGCCATCTGCAAACAGAGAGAGAAAGTGTATTGTTATTATTCAAATTATTGTTTATATTATTTGTATTTGAATTAATTATTATTTGCGCACTTTGCAGCCACTTGCGCATCTCTTCAAGCACCGTCTCCAGCTGTGCCTGCAGCTAAACTGAAGCGCAACGCGACAATCTGCACAGAGACACAGTCACCCGGGCCTTCATTCACAGCAACTGCAACTGCATCTGCAACTGCATCTGCAACTGCAACTGCAACTGCTGCTGTGATCTTATCGCCAGGGCTCTGCCAGCCTGTGCGTTGCATGATTCATGCCGCTTAATTATGCAATTTATTAATAAAGTGTCGCCACATTGGTTGGCCAAACTAACCAAGCTGACCAACCGAGAGACTTCAGCCCCATGACACCAGCTTCAAGTGCAGAGTTTAGTTGAATCAATTAACTTGAAACTAATGCAACTTATTCAGACCCAAAGTCCCTGTGCCAAAATGTGTTGTGCATTATAGAAGACATCTCCGATCGAGTAAAGCACATGCTTATTTACTCTTGGGTAGTATCAACAGCTGAGTTGACAGCTGTTCCATGCAAGTGATTTAAATTTGTAGTGCACAAAAGTGGAGCTCTCTTTTTCTTTTCGAGTATTACGAACATTAAAAGCAAATCTGAACTTGTTCTAAGCACAATCGTCTTCTGTTAGGCCATAAAAAATGAATTCAGATTACTTTGAGTATCTACAAAAGCAGCTTTGGGAGCAGCATGAGAGAATGTATCAACCGACTATAATATGAGGCACTTAAAGCTCGTGTCATCAGGACTTAATAAAATAAAACGCCAAACTGGCAAAAAAAAAAATGACCCTAGGTCTTAAAGTTTATCTTTGATATCCTGTAAGAACTGACAAAAATTGCTTCAAGGCCTTAAAGCTCATCTCTGAGATTCTGTAAACACATCTTTAAATGCGCTGAAAAGCTTTTATAATACGATTAAAATGTGCAAAATCTTTAGGCTTGTCTCATTGGAGCATAGGAAAAGAAAACTGAGAAATTTTTACAGTTTCTAAGTAATAGTAATTTCTACAAATCACATAGAGCTTTTTTTCAATATGTTAAAAAGCTCCTGAAAGCTTTTGTCTGGCACTCTAGCCTTCTACTTCTCTTTTAAGTCATTTCTTCAGCTTATGTCATTCAATCTTTATAGAAGAAAGCAAAAATGTAATTTTTGGAAAGTTTTTCCTATAATTCCCAACGAGCTTCTGTTAAAATATGTTTAAAAGCACATGAAAGCTTTTGCCTTATGCTTAAAAGCACATGAAAGCTTTTGCCTTAAGCTTATGTAATTTTTTCAGCTTGTGTCATTCAATTGTTATAGAAGAAAGTGGAAATTCCATTTATGGAAAGTTTGTCGCGGACTTCAGTTTAATTTAAACCTCGAGGCTTATTGATTAGGACGCCATCTCTTATTGCTTTTGATTATAAAATTTGTTGATTAAATTCTTACTTAGATAATCATTTTTCGACATGGTTGGAAATTCACAAAAGTAGCTAACTCCCATTGTTATACTGGATAATACCTATGTGAATCCTTGCCGTATTTACCATATTCTTAAAAATGTTTAGATCTAATTAAACTTCGTAGAGTAAATATATATTCATCATTTTTACACTCACCTTGCTGTTCAAATGCGCCTAAATTCCAATTAATGGGCGTGTTTAGATAACCCGCCAGATCCAAGTGTTCCATGTTGAATGTGGCAAGTGTTTCAGCAAATTGTTTTGGTTTTTTTTTTAGGATGCAGTTCTTTTTGTATAGCTTTGACTACTGCTAAATACTAAAAAGTAATGTATTTATATCGTTGTTGCAATGCTTAGTCTCCAAGTATCACATCGGTTCGTTTCTGATTCTTCAGGTTCTCCTCATTGAATGCAACTGGGGCAAATAGCACCAATTATTTCCATTTGCCTTATCGCAAGTATTTTGAGTTTTTGTGCAATTCGGCGGCAGCATTCGGTACAGACTTTAGTTGTATTTTCGATAAGCGAAAACGATATCTGTAAGCAAAATAACAAAAACAAAAGAGAAACAATACCAAGGAAACGTTAGTACAAATTGGTGATAAGAGCGGAGTCATATGTCCATATAACAGGCTGCATTTCAAATTGCAAATTTTAGTAAATTGGCCTTTAGGGGGAAAACAGCAGCAACAGTTCTTTATAATGCCATATAACTTTTTTTAGTACATTTTAGCACAGGCACAATTAAGCGAATACCTTTGTAAATCGTGCAGCTCAAGTCTAATTAAATATTTAAGCACACTTTTTGCATTTTAACTTGTAGAAGCATCCGATATTAAAGCTTCCCGTAAGCTATCTTTGCGCTGGTTTTCACAGGAGCGCATTTAGAACTTTTAGAACATCATAAAAATCGTGCAGCCTTAGTATAATCAAAAAATTGAGTACGTTTTTAAGATTTTAACTAGTAAAAGCAACGGTAATTAAAGATTCTCGCAAAATAACTTTGCAGTAGCTGTGTCAGCAGCGCATTTAGAATTTTTAGAACATTATACAAATCGTGCAGCTTAGGTCTAATTATATATTTAAGTACATGTTCAGCATTTTAAATATTAGAAACAACGATTAAAAAGATTAGCGCAAGTTTCCTATGCGATGGCTGTGTCGGGGGCGCATTTAGAATTTTTAGATCTTTCAACAAATTTAGTACACTCATGATCGACGGTGACCCGTATATATTGTAAAGTATTTTAGCGCAACCACAATTTAGTTAAAATACAGCACATGATCTAATATAATGTAGAAAACAGCAGCAAAATAGGCAAAATATTTTAGCACCAATAAAAATATGTGTTAGATCGCCGTGTTTATTGACTTGTGCTGATTTGTATAGCTTCATAGAATCATAATACAGCTGAAAGTCAGCTTACATAAAGTCTATAGCTCAGTAATCAAATAGAAAACAGCAGCTAGAGTTCAGTCTAACATTTTAGCACGCTTTTAGCACAGATTATTGTGCAAGCATCTGATAGCTAGTACTAGAAACTGCTGCCCCTTTATGATTATTGAGGCGGGGGCGACTTTAATTGCTCCAGCCGAATGCTAATAAGTATTTCTGTATGCCTCACACATGGCAAATGTGTGTAAAATTTTTTATATTTCGAAATAGTTGCCCGTCAAAATGCAGTGCACCGTGGGTGATCGCCAATTGAGTCGAGTCGCAAGTTGTTTGCCTGCACTTCCAGCTGCATTATATGCATACATACAGTACACTTAATATGTACACACAGTATTATTTACAATTTAAAGATTTTGTTTAAAGCATTCGCCACGCCACGCTGGATTGCACAAAACAAGCGATAACCCAATTCGCCGCCTGCACTTTTCAATGCCATTAGGGGCGAGGGCAGTTTGTATTTAGGTTTCAGTCGATCCAACTTATATATAAACAGGGAAAATGTTTTTGCTCAAACGTCATTGGGAGGCGTTCGACCTGTTGTTTATTTCGCAATCCGTGCTATGTAAACTCAAGTTATTTATAAATCGAATTGGAAATACATATTGCACAATACACATGGTACGCATGAAAATGTACAAAGGAAATTTTTAGGCGAAATAATCTACTGAAAGTAAGCAATTCAATTGAATGCGAACTGCCAGCGATATGTCAGGCCAATACCGGCTAAACAGAAAGTGATTGGTTTCTTTTCTAAATATCATGAATAGATTGATTACAGCCATCTTACGGAAATTGGCTCAGCGTCAATTGATTTTATAAATAGAAATTGTTTAAATGAATCGAGCCAGAACCTTTCCAAATAAATATTCATTTAAAATTCCAGCTCTTTTTGCTGGCGAACAAAACTTTTGCAGTATATAAATAAAATTGAAGACATTGTAAGAACATATAATTTTATTAACATTGCTGTTTAATTACTGTTTGCAACACATTTGGCATTTAGACCAATTTAGTACACATTTAGAACAACCAAGCATATCTTTTAGATATCATGTCATGGGTTTAGTACTAATCGCAACAGAGAAAGCTTTTAAAATAGACCAATTTACGTTTTAGTACATCTTCAATAATAATGATCACAGCAGCTGAACTAAATTATTTACATTTTAGAACATCTTTCATCTGACTTCCTCTCTACGTGAAAACCCGAAAAGAGCTGTCATAAACGACATGCACATGCAACAAATCGTGTCCAATTAATCACCTCAATATTCAAAAAGATTGACAGCCAGCAGAGAGACGAAAGAAAAAAGAACACATGTAGCGTATTAAAAGTCGGGGCTAAGATCCTAAGACTATGACATCAATTTTGTATCTTTGGCTTATCGCAGACAATATACAAAACGAAAATTTGAAGGTTGATTTCATGCTTAGAAAAAAACGTTGATTAAATGATATTTTTGCTTGATTTCTGTTGCTGGCTGATAAGATAGAGAACTATGTGGAATAATACTGGCCACAAGACACCCTCTATATAATAATTATAAATCGGAAGTTGTTTACTTTTGGCTCTGCCGCATGCATCCATCAAATTTTGGCCCACTAAGCTCACCAGCGCTGACCTTTGGAACGTGCAGAAAAACGCCACAGATACGACATGAGGAAGGTGTATGATATGCATATATATATATACAAATATATATATACTATTATGTGGACAGCGATAATGCGCTGTCCAATTGAAAGATTGTCACATGTACTAAAATAATAATAAACAACGAGAAAGTGAGGATATCTGCGGCACGCCGAAGATTTAATACTCTTGCAGATATGTGAGCATAAAATATCTTTGCCACATCTTCATTCCCATTTAGCTAGCTTAGATCCTTCGACCGATCTTTCCTATAGCAGCTATATAATATAATGTTAGCCTTGATTTACCATATATATGAAGATCATAATGGAACTATTAAATCCGAAGTTTGGGGAAAGTTATCTCAATGTAAAAAAGGTTTCCATATCAGATCATCATCATTGACAGCTATGTGATATAGTGTTCCGATCCGGCCAGATCCGACATATGTACTGTCTGAAACAGATTGGAAAGACGGACCTAAGCAAAGTTTCAAGACAATGAATGGCATTGCAACTGAGAGACTATTTCGCATAAAAAACAGACAGTCGGACAGAAGGACATGGCTTTATCAACTCGTATCTTGATGCTAAACAGGAATATATATATATACTTTATGGGCACGGAAATGTCAACACATTTCATGACAATATTAGACTACTCTCTACTAGGGTGCACACAAGTCATTCACTCGAAATAAAAAACGTAGCAACCAAAAAAGAATTGAACAAAATTAAAATAAATAAACTCACATGCCAAATGTTTAGTGCGTCACATTTTGTGCGCATCTATAAATAAAATGATCAAAATAAAAGAAACGAAGCCGAAGCGAACAACATTTTAGATCAAGCGGCTCGCAAAGGGCTGGGAAAAAAAAAGTGTTCTTAGAAAAGCATAAATTATTTTATTAGATTGTCTGGCCGAGTGCTGTTGTGCGGCTGTTATGCATATACACTGGCATATATTTCGATATGTAATATCTGGTCGGGCATTGCGGAAATCTTAAAGAGTGTTTAAGACTCTTTGGTGGCCATCTGACTTTCTGGGATCACGCACCGTCTGCCAGTTGCCAGCAGCTTTTTATTGCAAAAGTTCACTTGCCCCACAAATGTGCAGTTCGAAATTGTTTTATATTTGGTTTGTTATACCCTTGCAGAGGGTATTATAATTTTGTCGTGAAATGTGTAACGCATAGAAGGAGACATCTGCGACTCCATAAAGTATATATATTCTTGATCAGCATCAACAGCTGAGTCGACAGAGCCATGTCCGTCTGTCTGAACTAGTCTCTCAGTTTTAAATCTATCTTAATGCAATTTTGCAGAAGTCCGTCTTTCTGTTGCACGCAGCACATATGTGAAAACCAGCTGGATCGGATCACTATATCATATAGCTGCCATAGGAACGATCGGTCGAAAATTAAGTTTTTGTATGAAAAAACATTTTGTTTATCAAGATATCTTGCCCAAACTCGGCATTAACTATTTTCCCTATGCTTCTTAGATACGGACAAAGCACTATAAGCATTATGAAAAGGTTGGGTCTGCAAGGGTATTAGATCTTCGGCGAAGATAGCCTTTCTTTCTCGTTTTTTTTTTTGTTTTTGATTATTTTTAATTTTCCATTTTGCCGGCGCATGGCTACGCATTGTCTTTGGTTGTGGCCGCTGCGCTTCGAATGAATCTCTGTTTATTTTGGTTCGCATAAATTTTGTACAATTTCGTGTCGGTTGGCCTTTCATAAACAACAAAGCTCAAAAATGAATTATTGGATAATGGGGATCTCTCTGTCTCTCTGTTTTGGGCACGACAATATGAGTACGTTTGTTTTGGGGCGCGTCTCTTGGTCTCCGTCAAATGACTCACTTGCCTTGTTGGCCATGTATCGCGGTACTTTACGATATTATATCGTTAAAAATGCCCAAAGAGTGATATAAACATGTGCATATGAATGTGTTCAAGGGTCTTTAGTAGTGTTAGCATATTGAAGACATTTTCGCGCTGATATGAGGCGCCTATTTGTTTGTGGTTTCAAAACCAAATGCAAAGTAAACAATTTTTAATACAGATATTTGACTTTTTTCCGCAAAAAACCTAATCGTCTTTACTGTCCACAAACAGTTTAAAAACGTGAGTCACACAAAAACGTGCATATTTGCATTTTTATTTAGTACACTTTTTTAACGTAGTTTTAGTACACATTCACATTTTGCAAGTGCATATTCGTTGAAATTATATTTCATTTTATGACATATACTTTTAGTACACTTCAGACAAGTAATCACAGCTTTATCTAGTTTAGTACACTAAAGACATATATATTTGTTTTTCAAGCTCGATAGTGTACTTTATTGAATTTATGTATTTTAGTACAGAATGAATTTGTATCTTTAGTTTTACCAATTTTATTTCACTGAAAGTTCATATAATGCATTTAGTACGTTTATAGGCAATATGCTTTTAGTACACTTGAGGCGTGCGATTTAGTACAGATTTAGGCATATTTTTTCGGTTACGAGTTGAGTTTTAATTAATTGTATCAACAGCACTTTTAACTTTTTTAGTACATGCCGCATTGCCTCTTCAATTTAGTACACTTTAAAGTGCATATAAAATATGATGTATATATAGGCATGCACTCATTGCTTTTAGAACACAAATTTTCAATATTTACCAATCACACACAATTGTTATCTCTCCGCCTACAAATATAGGCAAAGTTTACATTTTGCAGGCGACGCCCATTTGCTAAAGAGATGCGTCAGGCCTTGGTACTTTCTCACCTGTGCTCGTTAAGAATCGGTTCGTTCGGTGTTTGTGTAATCCTTGAACGTTGTGCTAAAATCTCAACATTCTTAACACAAAGGCATTCAATTCATATTTAGCTCAGGACAGAGTTGAGTTAAACGTCGTATAATATTTGTTATCTCTTATAGCATGACAATTGTGCGCTGTGATAAGGCAACAAAAACCATTTGGGCGAAAAAAAAAATATCGTTTTATTTATTTTTGGCAATTTGGCTGCCAATTTTCGCACAGTTCGATTTAGTACTAAAACGCGCGCTCATTTAGTACGGGACTAAAGGCGAAAAGTGCGCGCGACTAAAACAAAAAAACAACAAAACAATTTAAACAAAAGTAAAAGGCGACTGCTAACGACATTTCCGAACGCCGACCGCAGCGTCTGAGGTGCGCTTAAGTACTAGGCAGCAAAAAACAAAAAAAAAAAAATACAACAAAACACACACACCACACTCCGCACACACACGCACACACACGCACACACACACAACGTTCGCCGCGTCGACGGCGACACGAACATAATTCTTGTTTGCTTTTTTTTTTAGTATTTATTTACAATTTAATATTTTCAACGCAGCGAATCGGCGTTTCGTGCGAATGCCGAACGCAGCAGCAGCAGCAGCAGCGGAAAACAAAGCAGCATCAGAGATAAAAATTGTAAATATGGTATATATATATATATTTTTACGGGAAAATGCCACGCGTAATCTGCAGTCGCGACGCCCCCGCAATCAAAATATGTTGACTGCCGCCAAATGGCGCTTACCCCATTTGCTGGGCATGGCGCGCCTCCGCCTCCAATACCCACGAGCTGGCAAACCAAACTGGTCAGCCAGCTGGTCAGCACAAGCTGCCGCCTTATTTTTGCATACAAATAAGCCCACAAATAAACGACACCAACGTCAAAAGAAAAAGCCATATAATAATTGTGATAAGTGTTATCAGACTGTAATCTCTCCGGCTGATTGTCTTGGACAACGGGTAAGACCCCTGCACATTGGGCACACGGTAAATGACGAACTAGGTAACAAGTTCACGAAAACTAATCTGTTATCATTTAACGTTCAATTGTACTAAAATCAAAGACATTTATAGTTTTAGTTTAACTTGGTAAAGGTTCAGGTAAGCATTGTTTACACTAGATCTAAAAATTTGACAAATGTGCGAAATTTGTACAAAAATATTTGGTTCATACAGGGCGATAAAAAAACTGAGACAAGCACAAGTACAAAATGTAATAAGCACAACGACGTACTAAAATATAATAATTGTCAAGTAAATGTCTGAGCAGCAAAAACAACAACAATAATTATAAAAGATAATATGCCCAACAGCTATATCAAGTAAGAAGATAAACTATGGCTGTAAGCTGAAACAGTGTGGGTTATCAATACAAAATATTTTTTATATTTTTCAAATGAAAAGCACATGTGCTTTCAGTGTTGCGAAATGCAATATGCAATATGAATTGCATTGAAAACAAGTGTTGTTAGTCGACAGACTTGTTCCTATTATTTCTGTTTAGGAAAAGCGAAGAACCAAATTCCTTAATTGCGGAATGTACTAATTATAATTTCAAATGAAAAGCATTTGTGATTTCAGTGCTGGGAAATGCAATATGTAATATGAATTGCATTGAAATAAGTGTTGTTAATCGACGAACTTGTTCTTATTATTTCTGTTCAAGAAAAAACAAGTGCCAAATTCCACAATTGAGGAATTTACAAATTGTAATTATTGTTGAGCAAAAGTGTTTATTAACCATAAAGAAAACAGCGTATTAAAATTAAACAGCTTAAGTTGAGCAACACATTAGCTAGTTGTCTTTTAAAAAGACAGCTCCTAAAATCTAATCGCCCGCTTAGGTTTATCGCACATCTGTAATCAAACCTATGTGAACTTATGGCCGTTGCATGATGAACTTGTGTTTTTGTTTTTACACCTTTCGCCGAGTGATGCATGATTTCGTATACAGTTTACATTTTGGTTATCACTTGCTTTTTATTTCGCACACTCTGCGCAAGGCGCCAGTCAAAGTTGAAAGTGTAATAAACTTGCGTGTGAAACGCACGAAAAATTGAAACAAAGGCGCGCTCGCATTTCTATTCGTAAACATTTTGCACACACTGTAGCTGTAGATGGACTTTCACTTTCGTCTGGCCACAGACAAAATTAAAAAGATTCATTAACATTTTCTTCATTCGTTCATTTGGGTTTCACAGAGTTTAGGGCAAACAATTGCCGAGTCTTTGGCTGATGCGACTCGAATCTAAAACTCGACTCAACAGCTCCCACACACAATATACAATTTGCAATCTCATTTTGGTTGGTTTTTCTTCTTTTGCCTCAATTGCGCTGCCGCGTCTTCAGGCTGCCTTTTGGCCACTTGCAGTTTGCGGAAAGCTTACGAAATTTCGCCTATCAGAGCATTGTTTATTGTGTTGTTGCCGGCCATTCTCAGGAGTTGTGCAATGTTTTGGCTAGTCATGATTGCAGAGAGGGGTCTGGAGGGGCTACCAGCTGGAACTTTTCACTCTTTCTGTGTTAGCAGGAAGTTTTGCTTTGAAAGTGAATGCCAGCCAACCCTTGCATTTAGTATATAGTATATAAGACCAGGTAGGAGTTTATTAATTGATCTCGTGCTTGTGGCACGCCTTCTGTTTCACTTTTGATTTTTTGTTGCTTTTCTTGATTTCTATGCAAATTGGCTTGGCTCATTATGAATCATATTTTCTGCTCTAATGAAATGTTGAAAGCGATTTGCAACCTTGCGGCTAAATTGTTGCCAGTCCAATAATTTGATTGTACTTTTGTTATTTCGTGTTTTTCTTTTGCCTGCTTTCGTAACTGTGCCAAATCTTTATTTTATTTACTTCTTTTTTTTTTACAGTGTATATGGTGACATTTTATGGCGAACATCGACAAATCGCCGAATCACTTGTGCAAATACAAATAACGTTCGTGGGAAAACCGCAAAACTTGTTGCGATCTTTTTGTTTGGCAATTTATAAAGCTTTTGTCTCTAGCCCCAACTTCAGATACTACGTAGAGTTCATCGTCATGTTTATTATGCAAAAATGCGATGTGCACAGAGCTCTCTATAAATACATTATTGCTGGCGTGGCTGCCTGAAATGCTAATAATTGTATAAATCATCGTTTATCTTGTTGACGATTTCGTCATAGCAACTGTAACATGTTCTAAATGCGTCTTAGTAATCATTATGGATGCGTAATGCTCAATGATGCAGCCTAAACTGAGCTCTTAAATATATTCATTAACTTGCCCCTATTTGATATTATAATCAACTTTTTTTATATACTAGCTTCTTTACATTCTTTATTTTGCTTTAAGTTCGAATTATTCATTTTCCACCCATCTTTCACCTATGTGAGTGGAAACTGATCACCACGTCTGAGATATATGTAAGTATATATCAGCTTTACAGATTTTCATTATATCTTTAAGAGTGAATGACTGAGATGATAAGTTTATCAGAAGCATTTAAGTCTTTACCCACTTATAATGTGCTAGGATGGTCATAAACTAGCTGTTAATTGGGAATGTATGGAATGAGATGTCATGCACTGCGAGAAATTAGAAACAACTTGTAAATGAGTGCTAATTAAAGTACATTTTGTATATATATAATTTTGTAACAAATGTGGGATGCAACCTTAAGCTTATCTTATAATCGAAATTCAAGATTCATGTGAATTTCAGCATAAAACTTGGAGTTTATTCTCGCATTTGGCATCAACAAAGTGCAAAACTTATGTAATTGCATTTAACGCAAGCTTAAATCTTATTAATTTTGCGTCCCATTGTCTCTAGGCATGCCGGAGAAATATTCACTTCAACTATAGCCAAGAACATCATTAATAAATAATGCTGCTACATGCACAAAGAACTCGGTAGCATCCATTTTGTTCCAGTTTAGCCCTGGGTCCCAGCATTTCTGTCATGTATATGACTTAACAAAAATTCCTAACTGGAAAACTGGCAGCGCGATTTGCAATGCATAAAAATGCCATTAAACAATTTGAATAGCAAACGCAAAGTTGTTGCCAGTCAGAAAATCGCAGTCGCTCGAGGGGAATAGCAGCTCGACTGTGTGCCAAATACGCGTGGAAGTAGCACAAGAGCTGCAAATTTATTAAGGACGGGAGAGCGAAAGAAATAAATAAAAAAAAAGCACAATGTGAAACAATGGATGAGCATGCAGAAGCCAGGTCCAAGACGTGGGCCACAAACTGACACGCCTCAGCGCTTCCAGCCAAGAATCCAGCTCTTGAATGGCCGCCAGTCAGGCAAAGCCATCGTCATTCAAATGATAAGCCCAGTTAGACAGACAGATTGGACAGACGCGGAATGACGACGGGAAAGTAGGTGGGCGTTTAATCAGCAGCTACGTACGGATCGGATGGGATCGGATCGGAACGCTGTGGCTTTGAGCTGGGAACGTGGGTGCAGCGAGGTACGTGCAACGCTTGCAGATTCCGCTCGACGAGGGCCTGGCTGGTAGCCCATAAATTAGACTATACATTGATTTGAATTTATCGTGGCTACCTTTTCATTTCTTCATTCTGGCTGCGGTCGCTTGATTAAGTTTTTCCATTTACTTTCCGTACGTCTTCCACTTTTGCTGATTGCTTGGCTTCAACGAAATGAAATGAAACCGCAGAACACAGAAATCGTCGCCAGCTAAATTAAATAAATGGGGCTTCAGTGGCCAGTGTACAGTTCAGTTCTGTGGGAACAAGGTCATCCAAGGTACTCTGCTTGGAGTTGGGAATCAAGTTGTTTGGAACCGTTCACTGGGGAAAAACTTGACACGGCCCTTGAAGTGCTGTTATAACCGAACGGGCTGGCGATAACAGAGAGAACCTTTGTGCCAGCAATTTTCAATGAGAAAAACTACAGTGAAAATACGTTTAGCTGATCTTGGTAAGATATAGCTATCGATAGGAAACTATCTTGTCATCAATATATATTTTGGGGAAGTAGTTTCAGAGTTAGCTTTACAATTAAGTTTCTTTAGGTTTTAAGAAAACAGAACGGAAGAAAATTGTTGCCTAAGAGAAAAGCGCGCAGCAAAACGCTTAAGGATAGCGCACAAAGAAGAAACGAAAACGGAAATACGGTTGCTGGCGTAAGCGCGTGGCACCAGAACAAGCTCAGGCCTAAAGAGAATTTTTGTACGCTTTAAATGAACAAATTCCAATGCGGTCTCATAAATTCTTTGTTAACTGGCAAATGTTAAATGACCAACTACGGCAAATAAATAACCTAGGAATTAGAGTCAAGTTGCTTAAGATACACATAACAGACACAATAAACAAAAGCAAAAAACTGATCCGGAA